TTCTTCCTTCTTTCCTTCCTTCCTTTCTTCCTTCCTCCCTTCCTCCCTTCCTTCCTTCCTTTCTTTCCTTCTTCCTTTCTTCCTTCTTTCCTTCCTTCCTTTCTTCCTTCCTCCCTTCCTCCCTTCCTTCCTTCCTTTCTTTCTTTCTTCCTTTCTTCCTTCTTTTCTTCCTTCTTTTCTTCCTTTCTTCCTTCCTTCCTTTCTTCCTTCCTTCTTTTCTTCCTTCTTTTCTTCCTTCCTTCCTTCCTTTCTTCCTTCTTTCCTTCCTTCCTTTCTTCCTTCCTCCCTTCCTCCCTTCCTTCCTTCCTTTCTTTCTTTCTTCCTTTCTTCCTTCTTTTCTTCCTTCTTTTCTTCCTTTCTTCCTTTCTTCCTTCTTTTCTTCCTTCTTTTCTTCCTTCTTTTCTTCCTTCCTTCCTTCCTTTCTTCCTTCTTTCCTTCCTTCCTTTCTTCCTTCCTTCCTTCTTTCCTTCCTTCCTTTTCTCCCTCTTTCCTTCCTTCTTTTCTTCCTTCCTTTCTTCCTTCCTTTCTTCCTTCTTTTCTTCCTTCTTTTCTTCCTTCTTTTCTTCCTTCCTTTCTTCCTTCCTTCCTTCCTTTCTTCCTTCCTTCCTTCCTTTCTTCCTTTCTTCCTTTCTTCCTTTCTTCCTTTCTTCCTTTCTTCTTACCTTCCTTCCTTCCTTCCTTCCTTCTTTCCTTCCTTCCAGTGGAATTAAGAGGAAATGTTCTAACAGTGAAGACAATTAACCAGTGGAACGGAAGTTGCCTCCAGAAGTTGTGGGGGCTTCATCACTGGAGGCTTTCAAGAAGGGACTGGACAGCCACTTGTCTAAAATAGTGTAGAGTCTCCTGCTTGGGCAGGGGGTTGGACTAGAAGACCTCCAAGGTCCCTTCCAGCTCTATTCCCATTGATTGATTGATTGATTGATTGATTGATTGATTGATTGATATGGTCTAGGTTCTCCTGCTTGAGCAGGGGGTTGGACCACGAAACTCTATTCTCATGGATGAATTGATTGGTCAAAAAGGTCTGGGCTCTCTTGCTTGAGCAGGGGGTTGGACTTGAAGACCTCCAAGGTCCCTTCCAGCTCTATTCTGACCGATTAATCATGGTTAAGTCATCAACTGATCTAAGGAAGACATTGAGGGATGTGTTTTGCGTGATTATGTCTCCTGAAAGGGGCTAAATACAGTCTTAATACAGGGAGTGAGCTTTGGGAAGCACCCATTATCTCACTCATATATTTCTTTTTCCTAAAGGCCCCTAAAACTCGTTTCTGCCTGCTGCTAAAAAGAGGCTGCTGAAAACCAACGAGGTTTTCTTTTTGTTTTGTTTTGCTCTGATCCAATTCCTGGGTGATTACCGCCATTTGTACATCCGTGGTTTATCCAGCCCCTCGCAGGCCTTGTACGCCTCTTGCTTGAAACGCTGCCTTTGCAAAGAATCTTGACACCAGAACCCGGGCTGGCAATTACATCAGATGCGGCTCCTTCCTCTTCTCAAGCTGTCCCGGCGTAGCTTGTTCCTCGAAAGAGGTCAGGCTTAAGTTCACCGGATTTAAAATGCTCCAGGATAAACACCTTCTCTCCACCAGCGAAAATGCTCCAGGATAAACACCTTCTCTCCACC